AACTCCGTAGTTTACGGCATGTTCCTGGACTGCCCAGAGTTGTTGTATTTTCTAAATGGTCATCTATAAAGGCGGCAGCATGCTGATCTTCCTGCCTCCCAAACAGGCGCTGTGTAGCCGGAAAAGTTGCTGTTGGAGAGAGGACTCTGCGACAGCGAATGACAACACAATTGCACTCAATGTACCATTGAACGAAAAAAGTAAATCAGATGTGGACGAGAAATGTGCAACAGCACTTCGCCTTGCAAGCTTTGGCTAGACACGGACTGCAGATGCGGCGCATTTCGTTGTCGTCTGCGATGCTTCCGCAATTGCCGTGGAGCCGCGCGCCACATCCTTTGAGACAGCGTTGCCCATGAAGGGGTGATGCCGAAGTTTCGGGCGTCTTGCACAAGTCACCTTTCGCACACATGGCGTTGTGCGCCTCGACGTAGAGCTGTAGGGTCTGTAGATGCACGTGGTGTGTAGTTTGTATGTAAAAAAGAAACGGCGCTGTTGTGGGGTGAGGAGGCGCCCAAACCGGCATTATTGCGGGCCGCTCTCAATGACGCCGGTGCGGCGCTATTGCGGGCTCTGGCTGTGCCCCACAATATCACCGGCGCTATAGAGGGCCACCGGCGTTATTCAATCGGCGTTATTGAGGGGCCTCCCAGTGTATTTTAACCGTTACGTGACTGGGTTAATTTGTGTTTTTTTTTGTTTTTTTCCCCACGACTGGCTCTCTGCGGTCAAAGATCTTCCAAGCATGCGTGTACACCCGTAAATCACGGTGGCAAGGATGGTGCAGCAGTGGGTCCATGTGTGGGGCTCACAGGGATGGGGACGCGGTATATGCAAAGGTGACGAACAGGAGTTCAGTAGTACTACTGCTGTACAGCAGTAGCAGCTATGCGGAGAGAAATGGACAGCAGCAGTGGTTTCTGAGCAGTTTTTTTTTTTTTTCTCCCATCATTGGACTCTGTCGTCTGCCCCTCTGGCCCATATCCTCCACTTCTGCTATTATAGCTAGACGACCCAACCGGGGTCACATAGGAGGGGGGGGCTGGACCCCTTCCTGCGGTTCCTGCCTGAGGTATTTTTATCGTGAGTACAGCAATCCCTTCCCTCGCGACTTACGAAGTCGATTATGGTTTACTAACAACGAGCTTTGCAACGCATCGGTTTCATCCTAGACCAGGATTTATTTAGTGAGAAAAAAGCTCACTCTGCCGGGACTCGAACCCATGACCTGGCCCTTAGCAGGCTTCGAGGTTACCCACTAGACCACCGGGGCGACCGGGTTGTTGTTATTGTTGTTTCTCACATTAGCTCTATAGTCCACAAAAAATGGGGAGCCCGTGGTCTCAAAACCCGGCACATACGACGCCGCGAGAAAACAAAAGAAACAAAAATAGGGTACAAACCACTCG